ACCTCTCCCTCTAAGTAAAACCTGCAACGAAGGTGATCAGAACACCCACCGGACTCGAAGACGCAATACGACCGAGGGTTGTTAACAAGCCAGCGATCATTTATGAGCAACCAATCCAGTTTTTTGCATATTAAACCATCCTCCCGCTTATTACACCAAGTGAAACAAGGGCCATGGTAGCCCATATCACTTAAATCTCCATCTCTAATAATTTTTTGAAAATCCCACATTCCAGCCAATGAACCCATCAAAGCACCTTGAACAGAGTGCTCATCTATGGAAAGGATTTCATTGAAATCCCCCATCACCATCCATCGCATTCTCCTGTAGATAGGCGAGACAAAGTGGCTTCTAAGATCCGCCCATAGCTCCCTTCTATCCTCCACAAAATTCGAAGCGTAAACAAAGGAACACAAGAACTCATCATCTGTATTTGTAACTTCACCAGCACCGATATCATTTGATTACTTTTAAACACCGGCGTTAGTCTGACAGAATCACACCAAAATACCCATATTCTGCCTAGTCGATGATGCTCGTAATTATTCAAGAACGACCAACCAGGGAATACCTCATTCACTACCTCCTCTGCATTAGATTCTTTTATTCGAGTTTCTAAGAGACTCCCAAATAAAAAGTTCTGCTCCCTACACCAACTTTTCACAAATTTTTGTTTCCTTTTTTTGTTAAAACCTCTAATGTTCCAGAAAAAACCAGACATTATTGGTTAGTTTTGATTGGCTTCTTTTTGTTGTTCTTCCTAATATTCCTCTTCTTCTTCCCTGAACTCTCAGGAGGCGAAGATGTAATAGGCTGAACAAACTTATGTGATGACTTTGACTCTCTGGGGAGAAAAACTCTTCCTCCTGCAGTCAGTTTAATCGCTTCCTCTTCCACTGATGCAGAATCCTGATTGTCCCCATGCAACAGGCCCTTATCTACCGATACCCTATGCTCTCTCTCCAATGTTTCCGTCGGATTTAAATCCTGCGAATCAGGTACGACCTCTTCACTAGAAGCCCTCTCCTCCTCACCATCATCTCCCAAATCCAAACCATCCCCTAAGAGCGACTTGAACCGAGATGCAGAGACAATAACCTCATCCACAATACTTTGCTTTGAGCTCCTACTAGCACGAGCAGGAGACTTGACATTTTCCCAATTCTTCGTTGGAATGTCCTGTGGACTCTCGATTCCCTTATCAGGTAGATCGCACTCTTTATTTCCTGACTGACTTTTCACATTGCGCGACACCGATTTATTTTGAGAGACGTGTCGCTGTGGCTTCGAAACAGAGCGAGTCTGCTCCTGCACCATTTGATCTCCTCTCAAGGCTTCACCAGAAACATTCTTAGCCGTAACCGGTGTACGTTGTAATATCGATATATCCCCAGGCTGAGCCTTACAATCCGCCGAACCATGTCCCCACTTGGCACATGAAGTGCACCTAGGAGGCAGCCACGGAAACTCATAATGCACTACTGTATCCATTCCAGCGCTCGATTTAAAGCTGAAACATTCTGGAAGTTTCTGCTTGAGATTCACCTCCACAAAAACCTTGGCCTCCTCGAAATTCTTAGCCCACAAGGTATCTGGGTGCAGCTTCTTTGGCTCCCCCAAAGGGCTTGATAAGAAGCTTAACCCTTTCCAAGTGAACATAGAACGCGGGACGTTACACAGACTAATCGGACAGAACTCTGTCATAGCTCTAGGCTTCTCTTTCTTGGGGATTAGACATATGTTGGTCTGATTTAGTCTGGGATCAAAAGATCCTGAGTTGAAGAAATCCTTTACTAATTTCACAATGTCATGGCGGAAATCCTGCCATAATCTTTGGTAGAACTTGCTTGTCTT